TTTTTTTATTTCACTGGGGTAAAATCATCCTCTAAGTCAGGGAAAGGAGAGCAGGGAAGAAGGTTCTAATTTCTTAAGGAAAACAGAGTGTAGAGGAGGAGGAAGTATGGGTCTTTGGTCTCAGAAAGCTCAAGGTACTACCTATCTGATAGTTTTCCAAAGTCCCACGTGGCTTTAGCCCACGTTAGCAGTTTCCCCTCCACGGCCACTGGATGAAAGACTACCAGCTTTGCCTGTTATCAGAATGGCAACGTGGTGTTTGGTTTGTAAGAAAGCAGCAGGTCCGTACCTCTTCTACCTCAAACCAGATGAAAACAGGTCTTCCTGCAGCTACTCCTACCTCTGACATGATATTGGCAGGGCCATGGCCAGGCAATTACCCTGATAGTAGCACAGTCTGCATCGTGGCCCAGAAACCCTTAAGGACGGCGGCAGAGCCTTTTTGCAGGCAGTGCCGTAGCTTCTCATCTTGGACCCATCTGCAAATCCTTCCCTTTGCTGGGTTAAGGGGTTCTCCAAAAGAAGTAAAGCATTTCTGGAGTCCTCAAACACATACACACAAGCAAACCTTCCATGCAAGACTCTTCATGGACAGAGGAAAGTCAAAAGTGGACAGCAATCATCTTCAAAATTAAAATAACCAAGAGAATGCAAAGAGCTACGTGTCATTATTCACGGAGGTAACATCGAAACATCTGAGGCTGACAGATGACATAAAGAAAAGTTATTTTGCCTACCTACATAACAATGGTCAAGGTTCAGGTTCATGGCTAGTGACCCTCGCTGAGAAGTGTCTGCCCTACAACCAGCCAACCACTTTGCTTCTTTAGTGCAGCGTGAGAGCAAATGCAAGAGACCGACACAGACATTCAAAGCATCATGGATAGGGGCAGGGGTGAAAGGGTTGGTCAAGCAGCTGCAAGGAGAAAGCGAGCACTTCTAGAAAAGCTGAGGTTATTAATCGGTTTAGTATCAGGGAAAGCCATTAGAAACCCTATTACCCAAATATCCCTTCAAGTAATGCTTCTGAGAAAGAACAACCGAAAGAAAAAAATCATTTGCGGAAAAAACCCAAAACTGTAACAAATAATCCCTCCCCTCCTCCCCCTCCATGCCCACCTCCCACCCCAGGAGGTTTTGCATCTTTGGTTTTCCCACCATTAAACGAACCAGAGGGATTTACAATGCATTTCCCCATTTGTTCCAGATTCCCCAACCTCCTCCCGTATCCCCTCCCCTCTCCAGACTTTATCCCATAAAACTGGGGGTTTTTTCTTTTTTTTTTTTGAAGCAGACAGATTACTTGAAAAATAGACAAAGCCAATTAGGGACAAGTTACCTATCTGCTTACCTGGAGCAAAACCAAAAACCAAACCCAAAAAAACCCCAAGAACTTAGCACCTAAAAGGGATTGATATCCTCAAAATTTCCAACAGCAGCAAAATAAACACAGAAAAGATGCAGGAAGGAACAGGGAGGATACAGGAAGAATGGAAGTTAACGCAGACTCTTCATGGAAATGTGGCGATCTCACCCTTACATAAAATCCACTATCCCCAGAACTTTATGGGTTCTCTATAAAGATTTTTTTTTTTTTTTTGAAGCATGTATTTCTCCGGTTTGGGTTTTCTTTGAAATGGATTGGTGGGTCCAGCCCAAAGCCACATCAAACCAAATCAGCATTCTGTATCTTCCTGCTGTGTTTGGTAAATTTCTTTTAGCTTAAATGATGTATCTTTGGAGGTTGGGTTTGAAGGGAAGAAAAAACAAACAGGTGCATGGAGGAAATTAACATCAAAAAACTAAGAAAAAACAAAACAAATGCAAAACTACCCAGCCCCGTTTTCAATTAACAGCCGTCTGAGCAGTGTGAAATACTAAAAAGCTTTTGCTGTGCTACATCCAGATCTGCCTTGTAACTTAGATGATAACAACTGGGGATGCTCTCGCTTAGCATTCAGCCCAGACGAGCTACTTTCTTTTGAGAGCTGAGGGCTCATTAAAATGACCTTTCCCCATGATTATTATTTAATGAGTGCGCTCTAAAACAGAAACCCCTTGTGTCTCTGGAGGCGAAGTCTCAAGTAATCTCTTTTCCCACTGAAGTACTAATGACAGGCTGACAAAAAAAAGCTGCAAGAAAAAATCTGGGGTTGAGGGTGAGGGAGGGAAACTGCAGAGCCAAATTTAATGCGGTAATTGCCACATCCTTGAACACCGTGGGTTACGTCTGGGCATCTGAAAAAAATTACCACCCAAAAAGAGATGCAAAAACTTGCTGTACACATTTTAAAAAGCGAAAAAGAAAAATTTCTGGCTGTTAAATAACGGGGACCTTACACCCAGCACACTCCTGCAGCGGCAACATGGACCAAGTGCCTCCATGTTTTACCTGCCCGCCTCGAGAAAGCCTATCAACAGAGGAAACAAACTGAAAAAGAAAAAAACAAAACCGGGTGGAAAAAAAAAAAAATTAAAAGGGGTTGGGGGCGGAAAGGCCTAGGCTTTATCTGGACAAAGGCAGCAGGGATATTTGAATAATAGAGAGTACCCCAGACTAGGTTAATTCCAGTTCTACTCATGGGGAGTGGGAGCAGGAGGGGGATGCAGAGCAGGATGAAGTGAAGCGGCAACCTAATCGCCTGCTAAGAGACACAGCAAGAGAGACAAGGTACACAGGTTTAGTTAAAAATGAACTCGATATGTTTAATAAAGCTTGGTATACCAAATCGCAGTACAAACATCAAGTCACACGGCCACACAACAGTATCCCGGTATTAAAAAAAAAAAAAAAAAAAAAAAAAAAAAAAAAAGAAAAGGAAAAAAAAGAAAAAAAATAAAAAAAAAAAAAGCTCCTTCCAAACCTCTACAAGGCTCATGCCAAAATAAAAGAATAAGAAATAAAATAATAATAATATAATAATAATATAATGGTGGTGGTGGCAGCAAGGAAGAAAGTGAGGGAAAAACTGAAGGGAGGAAGGGAACAGGAAAGCAGGGAGAGGTGGACACTAAAACCCAGTTGATAGAAAAGCTCTAAAAGAGCCAGCCAGTAATAATATCACAATGATACAGGTACAAAAAGGATAAAAAATAAACGTCAGGCTGATAAAGCAGGCTACGCTGCCAAGAACAAAGATGGCCACCCCGGCTCCGACCATCAAAATGGCTGACCCCAGCCCGCCAGGCCCCTCGCTTGCCCTCGCCCCCTGCCCCGCCCGCTCCCACACAGACATGGCAGAGGGGTGCGTTTGGGGTCGCGTTTGCTATAAGCTAGTAACCTTGATCGAACGAGTCCTCCGAGGAGTCACTGAAGGAAGATCCCGCCTCGGCCTCCCGCAGCA